GTGTTGTTATCCTGATGAAAGGACTCCCTGTGCCAACCTTGGCCTAAAACGTTTGCTTTAATATAAGGGGAGTGACAGTCATGAGGTCTGATTAGGGCAGGCCGGCCGGCGGCTGGGTGAGGTCGCACAGCATGTCAACCATGGTGAAGTGACCACAGTTGGGAGACTGTCCCTCAGCCTCCTGGTCTATATTCATCTTCATCCATGTGCAGGGGTAGATGCACTAGCTTGTTCTTTAGTGCAGACTCACGAGGAGCTGATGTATAAACCAGAAAGCTAGTGAATTCACCCAAGAGGAGAGAATTTTCCTTTCTCATGATAAAAATGTGTATCATATTGTTCATTGTTACCTCCACATCACTTGTCTCCTCCAGGCACTACATATTTGCTTATGCCACTTTCCCTTTGGCTAAGATTACAGCTTGGTCGCCTTGATAATGGTTTTGGGGGTTTCAGCCCTCAGTTACCTCCCGCAGATGGATAATCTGTTTTTCATTTGTTCAGCTCTTACAAAGCACCCTTATTTTCCTCATTCGTAAGGTGGGCACTTCTCTTTTGTTCACTGGACATTGCCTGCGATGTGCATTTAATAAGTGGAATTTGGGGGCTCAGTACCTCAAGGTCTTGCCAATAGCAAGTTGCAGAGCCAGCATTTGTCCCTTGATGTCATGTAGTGTTTCTTTGTTCAGAATGTCTCTGATAATTAAGCATTGTTTACCACTGACTGGGCTATTGTGTCAAATATAAAAGTCACTCATATTCCATTTCATTATAGGCCATTACAAGGTATTGAATCTAGTTCTCTGTGCTCTACAGTGGGACCTTGCTGTTTCTCTATCTTATATATAGTAAACTAATTAAGGGGGCAGAAATGTCTCTCAGGCTGTAGAATACTGGCTTCCAAGGCCTTTCATGCCCTCTGCGTGGCCCGTGTCTCCTGCTTCACTTGGCCACGGCCACTGCCCTTCTCGCTGTTCTCTAACCACAGTGGCCCTCTGATTTCCTTAAACAGGCCAAGTTCTTTCCTCCTCCTGTGGCTTTGAAGTCACTGTGCATTCCCTCTGTTTGAGATGCTTTTCCAGCCCACACTTAATAGCTAGCTCCTTTTCTTTGCTCTATTTCGGCTTAACACCTCAGAGCGGCCTTCCCAGATCGTCCTCCCCCGTGTAAGTCACGCTGAGTTAATTCTCTTATTTTCGACACAGCACTCGATATTTTATTTGTTCATCTACTTCTGTTCTCACTTACATCCACCACCAGAATATAAGCCCCGAGGATGGAGATTGCTCACTGATGTGTCCCTGCCGCCTTGTTACTGTGCCTGGCACCTGGGTGATGATCATCAAGTGTCTGTTGAATGAATCAACAGAAGTAGTACTAAAGGGGGCTAGACCTGTTAGAAAGGGATTGTGATTGTTGACATAATGAATAATGAAGGCCAGAACGAAGCTGTGTCTGTGGAAATGCAGAACAGATCACCTGTAAGGGATAGCTAGAGAGACAGTTGCTCCAGTTAGCCATGTCAGAGTCGAGCAGTGATGGAGAAGTTTTATATGTACTTTGGGTTTCTGGCTTCAACAAGAATGTGTATAATGGTGACAAAAACAGTAAGTGGAAATACAGGAGGAAAAGCATGGGTAGAAGCAGAGAGGTCAATTCTCTTTTGGATGACTTGAGTCTGGGATGATCAGAGACCTTTAAGCTAAAGTGTTCAATGAGCATCTGAAAATTCTAGCCTGATGCTAAGCACATAGAGCTAGGTTAGCGATATAACATACCCAAAAGGTAGCCACCAGTATCTGTTTCTCTCTACCCAAGATGGCGTGGAACATCTCGCAGGAGAAAGCAAATCCTAGTACTGACTGGTGTTTGAAGCACCTTGTGACCAAAGGCAAGAGCTTGGTTGTGGAGGAAGAGTGGTTTCAGGAGACTGACCATAATACCCACAGCACTTGTGTTTGGTCCAGGGGAGATTCTGAATAAGTGATTTACTTCTTGCCGGTTTTCCATCTGCTGAACTGGATGACTTACATTTAAAAGCATTTGGCATCCTTGGACACAGTGACTGCCTCCATGATTGCAAATTAGTGTTTTCATTCCATGTTAGTGATTTCCTCTTATTCTTTTCCCAAGGGAGATGGAAAATTGCTGTTGACTATTCTTGATATAAACCTCCGTATGCATTGCAACAGACTAGGTGCCAGAAACCTCCTGGCATCCATTTGGAATTTCCCGTAGGCTCAGAATCTGTATTTATAATATTTAATCTAACATCAAAATAAAACATTTTTCAGTTTAGCTCCTACTAGTCCAGAATCTCAGTTTTGGAGTTCAGCTGCATCAGAGATGACCTTTCCGTTTAGGAGTCTAAAATCAAAATGTGAGAGGATCTCAGTTAGTTATATACCCAGAGTCTAATA